AACTTTTAACACTTTTATTCTCTCTGCATGTTATATCATGCTTCTACTATTTCTTTATGAATTATTTTCTTGTCACAAACTTCTATTTCGCAAATGGAAAATCGAACGTAATTTGCATGTCACGCTATTGTTTGCGCATTTTTTTTTTGTGTAATATCGCGACGTATTATTAAATTTAACGAGACCAAAGTGATTGTTATGTTTTCACGCGCGCGCGTTGGACATTTATAATTATATTCCTATTAGCAACGCGCTAATATACCGCCAACGTGCGACAAGAATTGCCGGTTGTCAAACGTTTCGATCACGTGTAACTTGAATGTTACATTTGAAATATATATCGTGACATTAATGCAACCGAACGGGTGTCTGTTTTGTCAGAGAGAAAAAGTACGGTGTACATATGTATATATACTTAATATATGTACGCGTTATGCGTGGAACACTCCTACTCTCAAAAATTGTGCAACCAAGAAGGCCCTTTAGGTGTTTGCTCGTGATAAATAATGATTACGACAATGTTGAACAAACCGACGTGATAACCCAGAAATTTTGAACGAGTTTACATCGACAGATCCTCAGAAAAATGTACGGTCGAAAATAATCATGTTAGCTTTCTTTTTCACGGACTTACGTCGAGTCACACATTTTATTTGTCCACTTTATTTGTAAACGAGAACAAATCGTGTACCGCATATATTTATAAGAAGAATAGAATATTTTAACACTTAAAGAGCACTAGAACTGATATTTTGCTCAACAGGATTCTTTTCTTTTCGTTTTCTTTTTACTATAAAAGTCCTCCTGTAGTCAAACTAGGAGAGGCTCATTAATGATATACTATTTTGCTTGATATATTTGTTGGATCCAATGTTCCTTTTTTAAATAAAAATGCGGAAGCTCAAAGAGATGAACATTAATGATATATTATTTTGCTTGACATATTTTTTTTTTTTTTTTTTTTTTTAACGTGGAACTCAGAGATGAAAAATTTAAACTAAAAATGGCATAAATGATTTTCTCTCGATTTTTCGGCGGGAAAAATGTCGAGAGCCCATCTCTATTAACGTAAACCGATTCGCCGTCGTGTGCCGGACGAGAATCCACGCGAATCCGAGATCCCCGACGATTCGTGAGCCGAGGCATAACCTCGTCACACCGCGGGCTTTACGCTCTTCGTAACAATGCCCCGACTTTCTCCGTCACTTTCATTTTCGTTGGTCGGCTGCTCGCACTCTCCCCGCTCTTCTCTCTCTCTCTTTCTCTCTCGTCTAAATTAAGAAATAGTGCGTGCCGCGCTCCAGCCGCGCTTACCGGGTCCTCCATCCGCCTGCGGTTGGCACCCGCGATTTTAGAAAGGGTCTCCTATCTCTCTTCTCTCTCGCACGTTGCCCCGTTCCGTACTGGTACCCTTGCGTTATGTTGCGCCTCGCGGAACGTAAAGCGTGACGCGCGACGCGCCCTTTTTTTTTTTTTTTTTTTTTTATATTAAAATAATACTCTAAAAATATGGCATTTTAATATTTAGCCTCATTAATTTTATAGACCATGTGAAAAAAATTAATATGCACATATTAAGAGTATTTTGTAAATTATTTTTTGACATAAAGGTAGCTATATTTTCTTTATACTTGTATTGATTATAAAAATTAATAATTTTTAATTTTTTAATATAACTGAAATAAATGATAGTGACTGGGTGATTCTTATTCTTTTCTCGAATATCTTACTCGATTCCAAGAAGCACCAAGGAGCGAAGAGAAACGAAAAGGAAAAGCATGGAGGGTCAATATTTTTATAACACGTATATTTCACTTTCCGTTGAAAAATAATGCCGTAAATCGTCGTAGGAAATAATAGAATCTGCACAAATCAACTCTCTCGGCGCACCGCTGTTATTATATTCGCTAGAGATATTTACAATGACTGGAACTGTCGTCCGAAGAAGGGTTTCTTATTTATGAGGGCGAAGGATTGGTGGGTGATATTCGAAGCGGAAACGACCGGCATCGCCAATATCACCGAGGATCTTCGTTCTTTTTTTAGGAGAAGAAGAGAGAAGAAAAAGTAATTGGGAGAGCAGAGTGAGATATACAGTATACGTTTCGCACGCGGAAACCAGCAGCTTCCGATTATACAGCGATAGCGAAAAAGTGTGCAGTTACAGCCTACCCTGTGTTCCTCCATTCCAAAAACACTCACGAGATACGAAGATACATCATAGAATCCGACGATTTTTCGTTAAACGCACAACTTTAGAGCGTCGCAATAAATAGTAGCGAGCGAGATAATTATTAAATAGCGATATCGATAATTAGTTAATAGATTAGTGCACCTGGCAGGTAATAGGCAGATAATAGGGAAAGGGGGCAGAGAAAGGGACGAAAAATGGAACGACGAGTAAAAGACAAGTGCGATAAAGTTTTGTGGTCGTAGTGACAGGAACGCATGCGACATTTAACACATCGAGTACATTTAAAAGTGCCCTTCCATTTGCCTCGCGCCGCAAATGCGATCTTCGCTCGATTTGCACCTGTTGCTCGCATTAGAGATGCGACGGAAAAATCAAGTGTGATTAAGTGTAGATGATTGTCTTGGGAAAATGGTTAACCGTGTACATTTGATGCCCGCATCGTTGTCTTTCCTCTCAATGGGAATTCAATCCGAAGACTAAAACGATATATATAAAATTTTAAATACGTAATTAATTTTTTAGTTTACTTATTTTATAGAGAGAGAGAGAGAGAGAGAGAGAGAGAATTGAGATTTTTAGATAAAATAACGAAAATACAAATTTCTTATCAAATGGTATTTTTACATCAAATCTGTCATTAAAAGGAAAGACAATGAATCTAGGATATAGCTGCTCTACATATTACTCTCTTGACCGTAGTTTAATTTTATCCTGTGATATTAATCGCATGGCGTGTTTAATACGTCGATAAATGTGCTTTCTTGTCTCTCGTTTCGTTTGTATGCCCTACCAGCTTTAGCTGTCACTTGCGCAATTGCGCTTGCAATAGAAAAGATATGAAATAATCGCATTTGAACGAATACTTAATACTACGCTTTGATATGTCAATATTACTCTTATATTCTTATTCGCCTTAATAAATATATATCTATGTACAAAAATATAAAAATATTATTAAAATAAAATTTAAGTATTAATAAAAATTCTTATTGTTTTTTATAACGTATAAGCTAGATGTTAATTATATATCTTTCAAGCCGCCATAAGTAGCCAGCCAGCAGGCTCTAACTTCATTTCCCTTGGTAATGTCTTTCTACGTATGATGAAAATGTCATGGCGAAACCTTTCACCGTTTGTGTTCCATCTGCGGTAATTTTATTTACAACAAACAATAAAATAACACAGTAGAAATTCAAATAGCAAGGAACTGTTAATACCAATCTGACATCAATGCAGCATTTCTTGGTTCATTTAGCGATACGATATAAGAATATAAAAGTATGTTTTGCGTACCAAACATTTCTAAATAATGCCAATGAAATAATCATTTAACTTTGATCTTAATATCTATTAAACAAAGTTATTTGCATATTTTCATGTAAAAAAATATTTTAAAAATGTACAAAAATATTCTATTGTGTAATTCCTTCAATAATTAAATTTTATAAAGCACGCTAAAAACAATTGTTTTATATTATATTTCTGCTTCCATTTTTGATCCTATTATTGTTCTGTTATTTAACACGTCAATAAAACTCCAATTTAGAAGAAAAAATGTTAACACAAGAAATTCTAACGTCCAAATAATTTCGTACACAGGACCATTTTCCCGAGACGTGACATCGGGCATCGTTCTTGCGAGATTCGTGCTGAATGTCGACGCGAGTCGACAACAGGAATTCGAAATGGTATTTTTTTCGTAGTGTACTAATAGAGTATGCCTAACTACAAAGTACGTATAGAAGAGTTTCGACCGCCCATTTACGCAACACACAGCGTATTCATATCTTCGAAGGTCATGACAACAATGGGGCTGACCGGAGCTTTGCCTTTGCTCTCTCCATTACGTTCCGGTCACGACTATTCAAAGTTTCGCAATCATGATTGATAATGAATAATGATCGAGCGACGTGGTCGAGTCGCCTTTCTGTATGTAAGGCTTACCTTAGGTTCGAATGCCTCGAGGCAGTTTTTGTAGCGGAAAACTTGCGCGATTTGACAACGTACGGGCTCTCGAGGATGGTGGCGCAAACTCCCGTAAAGCGGAATGAATGAAATGCACCGACCTAATTAATCGATCTTGCGCGTTTAGGTACAGCCGTCTTACGTAATGAATGCGTTTGTATGTGTGTATGTGTGTGTATCGTGTAGCGTTATATAATTTTATTAATATATTTATTAATATTGTCATATACTCTCTTTCTTAAGAAGTGCAAAAATTATATCCGTTGCCTAAATATTAGAATCTATACTACTTTTAATTAATTTCAATTTTTATATATTTTATATATTAATTTTTTTAAATAATTTTATAAAACGCGATTTTTAATAAGAAGCATGATTCTTAGTAGCAAGTGCTTCAAGAAAATTTATCGATACGTTTTACTTTCTTGTTTCGACATATACAATTCATAATTAATATATAATTTATTTCGTAAATATATATATATATATATACAGGGTGTCCGGTAACTAACGGACCAATGATTAAGGGCAGATTCTCTGACCAATTTGGAGACGATTTTTCCTTAGCAAAAATGTTGAGAAGTCAATAATTTTCGAGTTATAAGCGATTGAAAAAAATGGGTTTTTTGAAAACTAAACGTTTTGGAGTTCAAAGTCTAACATAATTACATTCTTCAGTTAATTTCAGGTAGAGTTTACTATAATAAAATTTTAATTTGAGGCTTAGTTATAAAGATACATAATGACAAATATTGGAAAGTTGTAAAAAATGATGACCTTTTTCGACATTTTCGCTGAGGAAAAATCGTTCCCAAATTGACCAAAGAATCCATTTGTAATCGTTGGTCCGTTAGTTACCGGACACCTTGTATATATATGAATATTTTACGAATAAAAGCGTATACTTGCAATGCATTTCTCGCAACTAGAAATTTACTCTGTTCTGTTTGAATGCTGCTTTGCGTTATTTCATTTTCGCGTCCTCAGTCAATATGCTCAAAAAGAATCAGCGAGCTTTCTCATTGGAATTGAATGCATGGCTTTCGCCATGGGAATTAAGTGATTCGTGGTATGTACGCGTTAAGACGGCCATGTATTTACAAACGCTAATGAATACGGTTTGAAGGAGTGACATTTTCATTCACACAGTCGCCTGAATCCCGCGTTACAACTGCATCAAAAGGATAAAGAATTGCCACGCCGCAGGCGTACCTTCTGTACGCGGAGAGACTGCGCATTTTCATGATTAAAGCAAAAGACCGCGTCTGCGAACTGTAACGATCTTTGCAAGATACATTCGAATAAATTTAACCAAATAAAATGAAATTACCAGGGAGAATATTATTGTAGAAAGGATTTTCAACTTCTCTCTTGACAAGCTATTTTATGAACTGCCCTGTGTATGCATTATATATGTGGAAAGTTTTTATATAATTCATATAACAGATATACATTCATCATAAGATAAAATAGCGAGACAGAGCAGATATAAAATATATACTTTAATTAAATGAAAAATACTTGAATATTTGACGACCTCAAATTCGCGCATTTAATCTATTCGATTAAACGGCCAATAAAATTTGTTCTACGCGGCTAAAATGTTTTCATGAAGAAATAAAAGATGTTTTAATAATTTTTGATAACTCATTAAATCATTTAATCATTTAATGATAACTCTTTCGAAAAATAACGCATTTTGCGTATGAATCGTCCAAATACGAGACACGTTCTAATTACTATGGACGGATATATCCGTGCCGATTATATTAGTCTTCCTTTGTGAGTTCTCTTACCGATTAAATGCCGATAATATTTTATTTTGATTGCTGATCAGCTGATAAACAGTATAAATACTTGTATATTGATATACTATTATTAGGATCAGTCGTAAATGGGCAGTGACGTTCAATTCCTTGAATTTGATTCTATTTCTCTCTTCAGACCTTCAATTTGATTACAAACTTAGTGGACGTACTTTCGACGTTACGGCTTTTCGGATTGCTATAGCCTTCACTTCACTTATCTTGGCGACTCTCAATCACCGATGCGATTCAAATGAATTATTTAATCGGCCGTGTGTGCACAGCGTAAATCTGAACCGATAGATTGTACGCTGTCGATGAGTCATATGCGGACAGACACTTTAGATGAATCCACCTAAAGCGTCATGAAAGTCTTGAAGGTATGCGAGCAACTGAGGCATAGTTGGTCTATCCCTGGCTGGACCGAGCCAACAAGCTTCCATGCAGGCGAAGAGTTCGTCAGGACAAGGTCGTGGCTGTGCGAGGCGATATCCGTCTCGAAGACACGCCATCATTTCGAATGGATCGACCTCTAAATATGGTTGTTGACCTAGTGTCGCCAATTCCCATAAGAAAACTCCGAACGACCACTGAAAAAAAAAGAAAACAATGCGTTACAAAATTATCATCATTGAAAAATAAAAAAATTTGTAGAGAAAGAAAATGATACCTAATAAATTGCAAGCCTATAATAGAACAAATATATATAATACAGTAGGACACAAAACTCTCTTTTGCGCATCAGGATTTAAATTGAAATGAAAGAGATAAGAAATGGCGTTTTTGAAATTTTCAATATTTTTGGTGTCAAAGAGAAAACTGGTTTTAAATATACTCAACGACGTCTAAAAGTATAATCCAAGATCTTTCAAACGAATTTTGGTACTGTCGTACTTCGGAGAGAAAAAAAATAATTTTTTGTCCCACTGTGTAATTATACATAACTAATTTGTTTATTCTCTAAATCATAAAATAGTAAAATCGTCTTTTTAATGCATTTTTATTTTAATTTTTAAACAGAGTGAATTGATAATATATAGAATTGTAATAAATTCAATTCTTAATTTTGAATATATATTTTGTTAAAGAATCTTATTATTTGCCCATCTAATGTTATGGGGCAAAAGTATTTATTTATTTAATCAAATCCGCGTCAATGTATTTCCGTGAAAAAGACAATAATACGGCAGTTCGATTTGTCAGTATAAATTGAGATCGTACGTACCACGTCAGTTGCCGTGCTGTACTCATTGCGCTGGAGACTCTCCAAAGCCATCCAGCGTATAGGTCGGTTCTCGTTATCACCGAGACAATGGTAGTCCTGAGGGAAGAGATCTCGAGCCAGGGCAGCGTCAGCCAATCTCACGCGAAGGCTGCTCGGTTCGATCAGACAATTTCTGGCAGCGATATCCCTGGAAACGAATTATCGATCCTGAGGTGGAAACGATCGTGTTGACATGTCTGGATGATAACCGTGATAGACGAGCTTTCCACATCAATGTAAGGTCAATGAGCTTTCATAACGATTACGGCCGCAACAATAATCTCCATTTTATTATACATGTATATATAGCAAGCTTATAGTTTCCGAATTTATTTCCTTAACGCGATACAATCGTTATCTGTCATTTAATTTCGATAAATATAATTTTGTTTGAAAAATTTGTCGTTTAAAAATTAAAATTAAATTGAATACTAAATTATTTAAAAAATATTAAATGTCAGAAAATTATCATTTTATTTCAAATTTGAGAAAAGATTAGTCTTCTGACTTATTCTTGAATCGCATTAATAATGGCTCGTAATAATTTATGGTTAATAACTTATCTTCAACGTAATAAATTTGAACAGGGTTTAATGCAATTGATAATTTACCTATGTAATAATCCTCGGCCGTGAAGAAACGCTCCGGCTCTAGCAACTTGTGCGCCAACGTGTACCAAATCTCTAGTCACCGGATGATGATTTCCATCGGTAAGATAGACCTTTAGGTTTAGTTCACCGCATGTGCTTGTGTAAGCCAACAAGGGACACGAACTGTCCAGGCAAGCAGCCGCCAAAGAGGCAATGTTTGAGTGAACTAATCCAGCCAGTTGCGAACCCTCCACCACCAAAAGAGACGCCTGGTAAGCGGATGCAACTTCTGAAATAAATATCATTATTCAGCCTCAGTGACAGTGTAATTAGAGTATCACCGTGATGATAAAAAATATACGTTTAGTCAAACACTCGTTAAAAAATCATTTCAATAAATGTATTATAATTATAATAAATAAAAAATAATCATAATTTACAACAAAATTTTTTATTAGAAAACTTATTACGAGCATTCTGTTTAAATCATCTTATAATTTTAATATCCTCTTTACTTTGTCAAATTGTATGTCCGTAAGAATTATTTTATAAATTATTATAAATTGAATAATTATGTCGTATATATAACTTAACGTATAAGAATGAAAAATGAATTGAATCATAATTATTGGATTTTAAATATCAAGCCGATAATTATATCGATTTATTTGATAACAGAATACAAGTAACCGATAGTAGATACGATAACTTTCTAGTTTATCTTGAACAGGTATTCAAGTATTCATCTCAGTCATCAAATCGTATTTTATATACAAAAGATACAAGATCATTTTAGATTATTTTAATAATAAGATAATTAACATTTTTCCGAAATTTATATTAAATAAATTTCTAATAATTTCAACTGAAAAAATTCCAATTAAAAATGCGACATATATGTTGCACTATGCATAATACACTATATATTGTATATTATTTTAATATAAATCTTTAAATATTCTTAAAATGTTCAAAAATTTTTAAAATTATATTTTACCTGTGACAGTTTTTATGATGACTTCCTGTTCCCGTCCAGCCAATTCCAAAGTTCCTTTGTATACACGACCAAAAGTACCCTCCTGCACGAGAGTACGACAATACAATGCCGATCTCGATATCGCGAGTGCTCTGGCCTTTTCACACGGATCGGTTGACTAAAAATCGATGATACATATATTTTAGCTATCTAAAATCTCACATCAAAATACCAATCGCATTAATTATTTGGATAACTAAATTTTAAATTAAAAAAAATGCATTCCAAACATTTAACAAATTAAACATCAAATAATGACATAAAAAAACCTGGTTAAAACGAGCTGATTAAAAACATGCGTAGAATTAATCTAAAAATAAAAAAATATTACGATATAATCAACATCAACTTCAAATCTTTATTTCTCGCGGGAAAAGTAGATTACGCAATTATTTCTATGTTAGTAGTCGACAACTCAGGCTCGCTGTCGCTTAAAATCTCAATCGCGCGCGCGGACAGGCGCGCCTGCATAATTCATAGCCTCCGAAAAGAAGAAAAAAAAAAAAAAAAAGAAAAAAAAGAAATCCCCATCGGGCGGGGATTCATTAAAAGGCATTTGTCGCGTGTAAGGTGACGCCGGGGAAGAAGCCTCCCCCCGGGCGTCGTTATGGCATCGTGTCGCGCGGCCCTCTTTGTTCGCCAGACGGATTTCCATTGGTCCCCGACGTAAAACGCGAGAAAGCTACGCGACGCGCGCGCAAGAGGGGTGACTATTCATTAATTTCAATTTTCCGGAGTTTTGCCTTCGGCCCCTCCCGTTCCATTTGGACATACGCACACGCGCGCACGCCCACGCGTAGACATCAGCAACACCGAGGGGGATGGAAATGGGGAAAAAAGGGGAAAGAAACGCGACGGAAAACCAGTTCGAAACACGTCGATGCGACCGCACCGCGAAATTACCGTACGATGTATTGGATTCGAGAAAAGGGTGGAACGGAGAGGCAACGCGGTTCGGATTCGAATGAAACGAGAGAGGGCGAAAACAGGGGGTTGTTGTCGGTCGGTCCGCGGAGAACGGATCTCGGAAATTATTTACAAAATTCCCGGATAGCTCGGGTGGGACGCTCGGTGCAAAATGCAAACACCGCGGCTAATTCCGCGGCTTATCGGGGTCTGTGATTATTGCGGAGGCGAATTGTGTCGGCTCGCGTTGGCGAACGTTGTTTTCGCGCGAACGACCGGCCAAGCGCGTCTCGAAATCCTCTCTCGGACGCGATTCTGTGTCTCGTCGATCTCGTTTTTCCCTCTCGCGGTTATATTTTTTCGCGATACTCCACGCTCTCTCCACGACATATATAACATATACGCGTCCGCTTGTGTGTTTCTTCTTTTCTTTTTTTTTTCTTTTTTTTAGTTTCCCGATGAAATGTGATGAGCGAGGTGAGAATGGTATTCGGTGTTGCGTAACGAAGCTATAAATATAAATTAGATTAGAATTGAGAATTTAAGTCCCGCTTGATATCCGATTACGATAAATTCATTATCGTGATTAAAATTCCAAGGCTTATAACTTGATATAATTTCTAATTAAATTTGAATGAGGGGGAAAGATATTGATCGTTATCAACTGATATAATTTTGAAGAAAATAGATATCAATGTACGAAAAAGCAATTAAATAACTATTTTTATCATTTTAAAATTAACAAACGGAAAAAAGTCACAACTTGTTCGATTTGTACTCAAATATTATTTCGCGATAAGTGATATATATATATATATAAAATCACACACTTATTGATCAGCGCGAGCGCGGAAAAATCGATTGTCAAAATATATTTAGACAAATCATTGGAAATTTTTCGTACATCTCTAGTAATAAATATTACTTGACTGTTTGCATTAGAGAATCGGAATCAAAATCGAACGCGCAGCACCCAGCACGGGGGTTGAGCGTTTTTAGCTTACCCAGGAGGGGGAAGAGGGATGGCAATTTGATTTATTTACTGAAAGCCTTTCGTCAAACATCACGTTCGTTCGTTCGTTCGACCCGCTGAAGGCGCTCTAAAAGCTTCGTTTTCAGACTACCGCGCTCTCGACATGCCCAGAGCGCTTTTAATTCGACCCCCTTCTCGATGTAATAATACAATTTTCATTCGTCTCACCCGATTAAAAAGCAACGGCATGACGGGGCGGAAGTTCGCGACGGCGAGAATTAATTAAATCGAAGAATCGGCTTTTATTACGTAACTAATAATTAACGCCGCGTCAGCCCGAGAGATACATCCCGAAGTATAATTGCTAATTCGACGACGCGCATTCGGGGACGCAATTTCTAATTCCATTAACGCCCTTTAAATGTGATTTATATGAAAGTTTTTAATACGCTCGAAATTATTAATCGTTGTTGTATACCGAGATTCTCCATCTCTCTCTCTCTCCCGACGTCGCCCCCGGGCGGAATTTACAAAATAAACTGCTGGACGTTCGTCTCTCTCCGAGATAAACCGCGCGTTTCGCTCACCGCCGGCTCAGCTGTTGCGGAAACGTCTCCGCAGAATGTTTTGAAAATGAATAAAATTCTTCCGCTATAAAATTAATACGCGCGGAATTATATATCTTCGTTTATCTTCTCTCGAAATATTTTCCGTCGAATTTCTCTCGCGGGAAAATAACGATGACAATCTTCTACGATATACAGTACAGGTGCATCTAAATAAATGCGAAAAATTTTAGATAATTCCTTGTCGAAAATTAAGGGAGGTTTTTTATATAAACAAATACTCTTATATCTTGTAAGATTAAGTTCTTATTTTTCTCTCAAATTTCAGACAAATTTAATAAATGATACTTGGATAGTTTCTACCGATAAAATGGATATTTATTAATATTTTTTGTATTACACGTGCAGGCAAAGTGGCACTTTGTGTGCGTGTTTTCCGTGCGGAAAGCGGCCAATTTCCCACGCCGCCGCGAAATGGCGGCGTGCGATCGGCCACCTCGCGCACAGAAAACGCGCACAAAGCCACTTTGCCTGCGCTTGTAATACAAAATAGTATGTACACAATATACTATTTCCTTTTACTTTAGAAAAGTGTAACTCCTCAGGGAGGGATATTAAAGTATACATTTATATAAGAAACCTCCCTTAATTTTCGACAAGGAATCATCTCCTAAAATTATTCTCGCACTTAATTCAGATGCACCCTGTCTAAAAAAAGTATCTCTCATTGCGGTTGATCTCCGTTAATACGCCACGCGTTGGCAAATAACTAGTTCTAGCATTACGAATGGAATTGGCGCGAGGATCTGATAGGGGACATCGGCAAACACGCGATCGGTTATCTCGGCCGCGGTGAGGTACGTCTAACTTTTACGAGGAAAAGAAACGGGTATTGTCGAGTCCGGGCAGGCCATGCGGAAAATGGCCGGGTCGCCAGGCCATTTCCCTGCGTCCGACTCGCTCGCGCAGAAACCCACCGAATAAGGAGGAAGAGGAAGAGGATCCGCGGGAAGGAGAAAACAGACGCGTGTGTGTTTGTCCTCGTGCCGAAGATCGTTTCCCCGATAGACAGCGCCAGGTAATGGCTTCCCCAGCAATGGGATCTCAAGCGTATCGTTTTACAGGGTTGGGGTAAGACGCTGTCGCTGGATTACGTCAGTCGGTCGGTCCGAGAGGGTTGGTTGACGGGCTGGGGAGGGTAAGTTTTCACGAAGGTTCACGGTTACATCACCGATTCGTGTATACGTATATATGTACGTATGTATGCGCGGTACGTGCGCCGCTCGTACGTGACTATACATGATGCGTCTTCTCGCATGTGTATGTATAAGTGTGTTTACACATACGTGTGTGTATTCACGAGGTCGGTTGCGTTCGAGACGAAGCGTCGCGTCGAGGAGGGTTGTAGAGAGGGAAGGGAAAGAGCGCGTATACCCGGTAAATTGATCCAAGATCAAAGCCGAAACAATCACAGGACCCACTTCCACAAACGCTCTCTCTCTCGCTGTCGGTTCCCTCAGCTCGACGCCAATCCTCCCTTTCGCGTCTGAGGAGGGCAAACGCCGGCGTCAGCGGGTGCCTGGAAGTGTGTATGTACATATGTACACACACATGTAACCCGCTGCCTGCCGACACACTCTTCCTCCCTTTCTCGCCCTCTCGACAATGTGTGCAGGTGAATATATATCCGCGTTTCTTTTCTCGGGAAAATTAATGCAAAACGCTCGTTCCGCGAGAGGCGGCGCGATATCCCATATTTATTCGACATTTTCGCGCGACCCTTTCGCTCCTCTCGTCTCTTTGATTGCGCACTTTTGCGAGAAAGATACTTCGGGGGAGGGAACGACGGGTAATAGCGCGTGCTTTAAAACGGTAGTTAAAACGATGCAGCGGCCCGTGACACACGCGGCGATTGCGTGCGCGGTGTCGGTGATTGAAATCGACCTTTATCGCTTTTTTTGCGGCCGCTCGTAAATATCACTATGTATACGCGTATAGAAACGATGAAAGCGTTAGTATGTACGCGAGAGATACTTATATCTTCTCGTAAAGACAGCCGTATCAATTATTCCCGGGGTAATTAGCTAATTTCTTCGACCAATAAAATATTCACTTGACAGCGTTCTCGTTCGTTTAGACGGATGCTGACCATCGCTGTTTTACCGACTTTGAGTTCACGGGCTTTTCTTTTTATTGGTTACACAGATTGAAAAATCCTTCTCGACAATTAAAGTACTGGTAATAATGAACGGGAAGCGCTGTAATTTCGTATAAAAGAACAATAAAAGTTAAAAAATTACAGTTTACGGCCTCTTGCATCAGCTCGTAACAATACTTACTTAATACAAAAGTTCTGCAGTTTATTCGTGCACAAAATATGGCGCTCCCAATAGAGATGCCATGAAAGAATACAGAAGTAATAAAAATGAGATTCAAAGCCTGTATCAAAAGATTCGTACTTGAATTAATTATATATGTATATTTGTTGCGGAATCGATGTCGAGACATAAAACAGCAAAAATTAGTTCATTATTATCATTGTGGAGGATTTTTCAATCTGTATATTCAATGAAAAGTGAACCTAACTTAACTTAAAGTCGGTAAAACACAACAACGGCAGACAAGCGAATTTGTTTTCTCTCTACATCTACTACGAAAATATCAAATATACAATATTCATATTCACTTTTTTTTTACACACGAAGAAATATATAGAACAAATAAGGGATATATGATTTTAAATATATCACTCTTGAAGGATATATTTAAAGCGGTATTTTATGTGTGTAAAAATATTGCACGAATAGACGTGCGCAATTTCATCTCGGATTTTTATACACTATTAACTCAGAATTGTACATTATTAACGAAAATTAAATCACTGACCACAAGTTCATGAAATTCTGCGCGGAGCTGTGCAAAAGTAAAATATCTTTCATCATATTAGAGACTTCCATCTTTGCGGAAATTTTACGGCGTTTCTCGAAGAAATAATTCTAAGGAAGTGATCGATGCGCCAAACATCTCGTTTTACCGAACGCGAGCTCAAAGCTATGAAAGGGATCAAAGACGCGGTCAGCAACCGTGTCAAAGCAGCGATATAACATAGAAGAGCGAGAGATTCTGCTCGCGAAATGCAGGAATCGACGAAACACGCTCGAGAAAACGGAAGTCAAAGCGAAAAAGGTACTACACGCGTACCTAGCTTTTCCCCTACGTCTCGTCTCGAGGTTAGGGAGAGAGAAGACGGGAGAGGGTTGGTTGTAGGTCGGCGGGTTTAGAATCGCTGAATAAAGTGCCGAAGGGCTGCAAAGGGTTGGGCGCCAAAGTTGTCCGTGGAAAGCGGCTCGCTCGGCCGCAAACTCGATAAAGTTGCGAGAGGCGCGGCACTCATTGTGTATATATAGTATATACGAGACGAAACGAGAGACGAGACGAAACGGGACGGACGCGGGATGAGACAGGAGGAGGAGTCGTCTCGCACTGTTTCCGCTTCCGGTAGTCGGTGGCAGACGCGGAGTTTGCGATAGCGAAGTGGAAGGAGACCGACCGGCGAAAAATCGGATTTCCTGACGCGCAATACGAGTTTCGCGTCCATCGTCGAGAGTTTGTTTCACGGACTGTTTCGTCCGCGATTAGAAAAACCGTGAGAAGAAGCAAGAAACGTTACGCGATTTGTCATTCCGCCTCGAAACAGCAAAACTATTCATCGATCTTGTAATACATCTATTATTAATTATTTGAATAATTAAATTTTGAATAAAAATTTATGTTAAATAAATCTCTAATGTAAATTAAATATGATAAAGATATAGAATTAAAATATATATAAATGATCTTATTTGAAAAATCTCGAGAATGGTAATAATTTCATCAACCATATCTGGCTATAAGTAATATTTATTAAAACTTTACGAAATTTTGAATAAAAATATATATTTATAAATAATTAAAATAAATCTCTAATGTAAATTAAATATGATAAAGATATAGAATTAAAATATATATAAATGATCTTATTTGAAAAATCTCGAGAATGGTAATAATTTCAATCAACCATATCTGGCTATAAGTAATATTTATTAAAACTTTACGAAATTTTGAAAATAAAATATATATTTATAAATAATTAAAATAAATCTCTAATCTAAATTAAATATGATAAAGATATAGAATTAAAATATATATAAATGATCTTATTTGAAAAATCTCGAGAATGATATATCAATGTTTTGACATATCGATCCCAGAAAGTTTCTGAGTTCATTGTCAGTCATACGGTCATAAAGTGGCACAAAATGACATTTAACATGAAATGTGAGTTAAACACTCGGTGGAAATTTTCGCTTCAAGTGCATGGACATATACAGTTCCGCTTTAGCATGCTCTCGCGAATCGCTGTCATCGCATACCTGGCTCAGATGCGTCACATGGCTCGCCGCGTAGTAACTCGCTCTGGAACCGCACGGCCTCGCGTACAGCGGCTCGAGGTCGGCGATGGTGGCGTAACTTCCGGAATTCGCGCTTCCGGGCCGCGGGTCGACTCTAACCAAGACGGAACTTCTCGCCAGGCCGCCGGTGTCAGCCGCCGAGTAACTGCAGCAGGGCAGAGTTTTCCTGAAAGGACGAAAGGACGCTCTGCAGCCGCGCGCGATTGTTACACTCGGGGGTTAATTATCGTTACAATGGCGCCGCGTCGTGAGAGCGAGGGCCCGAGTATAAAATTATTTCCATACGGGAGTCGCAGCCCGAGACGATCCCGCTGAAACAAAATTTTATCACGCTACGCCGAATCTCTTCCGTAAATCCGGGAACTCGCACGGACTCGTTGCGAGTGTCGTCGAGAGGATTTTACTCGACCATTTTGCGGAGCGCACTTTAAAGCGCAGATTTTCAATATTCACAAGAATGTTAATTACCTTTCTTATATGTTATGTAGTCTCGCAATTATATGACTTTATAAATTTAAGGAGACTTCAAGCTACAGCTATAAATTAAATAATTAAAACTTACTTTGAAGAATTTTTTATATCATTTTTTTCCAAATTAATTTTTTTCAAATACACGATTAATGAATGACGATTGAAATCGAACATTTTGGTTCGCATTTATTAAGCCACGTTGAATCGCACGTTTTTGCGATTAAAAAGAAAATATTTAATAAACTTCATTGTCAGAGAGTCAGAAAATATACACCTTAACTGCTAATTTTACGTCGCTTTAATTTCGCCTGGGGATCACCGCGTAATAAGCTCTTTTAGCGAGCTTTTCCCGCAGGACGGTTCGGACAGTAATATGTCGGAGTAAACGTAGTTCAAATTACAACATCGTTTACGAGATACGGTCGCTTTATAAAGTCCGGCAGATACACTTCTCCCGGCAAAAGATGGAAGAAGGGCATAAGTGGGAAGAACGGTGCATTATCATATTTCAAAAGCGTGCTCCATTCCGCACCCTGTGCATAACCCTCAACGAGAAATTATCTTCGACAAGAAGTTTCTCGGGCACTCTCTCTCTCTCTCTCTCTCTCTCTCTCTCTCTCTCTCTCTCTATCCATCTCCAGAAGGATTTACATCCCGTCCCGGTCGAGCTCCCTAGGAGCTCGAAATGATCCTCTCTCTTTCGTACCGACGATCTCTCGCGATAAAGAAACGCGTCAATTCGATTCTAACTCGAGAAAAGCTATTCCTACCTCTTCGACTTAACCGATTTACTCTTGAATGCAATTTATCTCTATTCCACATCATTGGTCTAACTTTACATCTGTATTTAGTTTGCCTGGTTTCTCTTTTTTCCGTTTTTGAAACATGTATTTAACGTTCTGTTCTGATTAAATATAATAGAATTTAAATTTAAATATTCCATATAATATTAGAATAATATTGTACTTTCAAATTTTCCAAATTTACCATAATTGTTGACTTAAAAAGAGATGAAAATGGAAATTATTCTTGTTCCGTCCTAGAATTTCAAAATTAATATTAAATTCTCGCGAGACAAAATTATTTTCAAAACAGAGATTGTTCTATTCTAAACAAAGACGCCGTTTTCAGACAATCTGGAAAGGGAGACGGAAAAAGATACGAAACGAAATGACGACTGGAAAATAGTGGCGAGAAATAGAGGAGAGGATATTTTTAGCGATTTATTGGCCATTTCGTGCATGTAAATCTGCCGCCGAACGTATATTCGTTAAAAAGACGAGCGGTAGAAAAACGCGTACAGAGCCATCGATTTCAAATATTTCCCAGTTCGCTCATTCATGTCCGTTTATTTTTACGCGACCCTTACCGAAGCGTTTCGCAGCCAGATCGACTTCCGGCGAATCTGTCTACGTCCCGTGAAAGCGGAGGAACGGAAACGTTAAAGCGTCGTACGGAAAGTAATATCATTTTCGTAACTCGCGCTGAAATTTTCATAGATCGAAAATTTATGGCGAAACCGAAGGCGTGTCTGCCGTAATATTTATCGGCTCGAGCACCGTAAGATTCGTAAACTAACCCTTTTAATATAATTTAATATTCTGTAAGTAAGAACGCGCGGCGCGTACAAAATATTTTAGATAACTTTCTTTCAAAAGAAAATAATAAAATTGTTCAAACTTTCTAGCAAATTACGAGTTTTTATCGTAAGAGTGTGTAAGAGTTTTTATAAAATTTTGCATGGAAAAAATGTTCTTTAAAATCAGTGTTTGCTGTTATCCAACTAAAAATATTATCTCCATTTGCATCTTAGATAAAAAAAAGTATTACCTTTACTAAATTATCTACACTAATGTCTGTTCAGATAATTTGGTAGAATCACAGTACATAAAAATACTTGAATAGTAGAACTTTTAAGCAGTAAACGATAAAAATATGAACATATTTTTATATATCCCTTTTCTTTTACATTTTTTACAACTGTTTACATAAGTAGTCTTAAAAATAATATCATCTAATTTGAAAATTATCTAAGCACAACGCTGTTTATAATTATATTAAGCAAGTTTTCTGAACAACCGAATGATGTTTGAGATAAAATATACAAAAATTGCGAATTAACGAGTAAGATTTTTATTACGTAAATATATCTTGCTCTGATTAAAAGAAAAGACCAATAAGTATATGCACGCATCTACAGTCACGAAAGGAGCCTAATCAAACCAATATCGAAATGCAAAAATAAACATCAGACACAGACCGGGATGGAAAAAATGTTCTTTAAAATCAGTGTTTGCTGTTATCTAACTAAAAATATTATCTCCATTTGCATCTTAGATAAAAAAAAGTATTACCTTTACTAAATTATCTACACTAATGTCTGTTCAGATAATTTGGTAGAATCACAGTACATAAAAATACTTGAATAGTAGAACTTTTAAGCAGTAAACGATAAAAATATGAACATATTTTTATATATCCCTTTTCTAATTTACATTTTTTACAATTGTTTACATAAGTAGTCTTAAAAATAATATCATCTAATTTGAAAATTATCTAAGCACAACGCTGTTTATAATTATATTAAGCAAGTTCTCTAAATAACCGAATGATGTTTGAGATAAAATATACAAAAATGGCGAATTAACGAGTAAGATTTTTATTACGTAAATATATCTTGCTCTGATTAAAAGAAAAGACCAATAAGTATATGCACGCATCTACAGTCACGAAAGGAGCCTAATCAAACCAATATCGAAATGCAAAAATAAACATCAGACACAGACCGGGATGGAAAAAATGTTCTTTAAAATCAGTGTTTGCTGTTATCTAACTAAAAATATTATCTCCATTTGCATCTTAGATAAAAAAAAGTATTACCTTTACTAAATTATCTACACTAATGTCTGTTCAGATAATTTGATAGAATCACAGTACATAAAAATACTTAAATAGTAGAACTTTTAAGCAGTAAACGATAAAAATATGAACATATTTTTATATATCCCTTTTCTAATTTACATTTTTTACAATTGTTTACATAAGTAGTCTTAAAAATAATATGATCTAATTTGAAAATTATCTAAGCACAACGCTGTTTATAATTATATTAAGCAAGTTCTCTAAATAACCGAATGATGTTTGAGATAAAATATACAAAAATGGCGAATTAACGAGTAAGATTTTTATTACGTAAATATATCTTGCTCTGATTAAAAGAAAAGACCAATAAGTATATGCACGCATCTACAGTCACGAAAGGAGCCTAATCAAACCAATATCGAAATGCAAAAATAAACATCAGACACAGACCGTGGAGGGAGCAAAAGTTGGAAGACTGCAACGAAATCCCGACGCGAGTTTCGTGAGTGGCGTAACTACTCTCGAGAAAACTTTTCGCTGCTTGCCGAATCTCGAAGGCGCCTTTTGTACGTCGAGTTCGATGCGGCAAGAAGGGCTTACGAGGAACGAGGGTGGCCGTGTTCGTTCGAGCGAACGGATGTAAAATCTGCAGTTTTACCCGCCGGCGAGGATGTACGTTAAAGAGAAGGGGATTGAGGGAGGAAAGACAGGCCGAGGGAAGCAAAGATCCTCGTTCCTTCGCGTGTTATCAGGGTGGAGAGACTCAAAAGAGCTAATATATCCCGGGAGAGACAATTGGCCCGCCGCGTCTCAGGGAAAAACGCAAAGGCGCGTATAAAATAAGGGCGCGTCCCTTCTCTTCGATTTCCGCCGCTATAAAGGCCACTCACTTTGCCATGCGATAAATATTTGATGTCCTCTCCGATCCGCGAGATCATTGTTACGGATGATCGTACTCGATCGTATTCGCATCACGCGTCGTCCAATCGGGTGTTGTTTGTTCGAGCGTGAACATCTGTTGCTTTCTTTTTCGAATGCTCCGGTCAGTGCCGCGGTGAGATATTGATTTCAATTCCGCGACAGATTGGCGTGTAATATTTCAATCTCGCGTAATATCACGCTGGGATTTAACGTAATATATCTTCCTATGCACTGCGCAGTTTTTTTTTTTTTTTTTCATCATCAGTTTTCCGCGCAGATCGATGTAGAAACGACGAGAAACAGGTCTTACGCTTCGTAAGGAAAAACAATTATGATTATTGCATCAAGAAAAACAAACAAGAAAAAGAGAAATTGCAGAAATGTTTTATATAAAAAAAAACAACGTAAAAGCATTAATCTACAGAAAGATACGGAGAATTTTAGTGGGATTTATGATCGTGTTCTTGACGCTATTAAAATTATATTTATTTTTATATTTACCTATTTATTTATTTATTTGACTTTGTTATGACGTTTTAAAATGCGAAAGACATATTAGTTTTGTTCTCTATTTTCTTAACGCGTAGTGACTAAGATTCTTGCTAACAGTCAACATCTATTTATTTCGTGCTTACTTCTGTCAGTTTTACATTGTTCATCAAAACAATGGTTAATATTGTCGGTGGTTTGCAGTGAAGTTGATTTACTGTATTAATTTGGTATGTAACATATTTTTGGTTTTTGAATGTATAATTATTTGTAGCGATAAAGTGTATTAAAAGTATAATTATTTTTATGTAACTTTTTATAGATTTACTTGAAAAGGGCTGCAATGACAGCCGAAACGTTGTATTTCAACTAATTATTTATAATAAATTATTGCCAGTCTGGTCGACTTTGAACTTTGAGAAGAGTTTTTTATTAATTATTACTGGCGACCCTTAAGAATTATTATTTGAATTATGATTATTTTATGTTACGTTGTAGCTCTATGATGTGATTCGAGATTGAAATATGACACGAAATTTTCCATCCAAATTTCTTTGAAGGAACGAATTCGCTGTTTACCGTTTAACAGTTCCTAGGAAACGAAATTCGTTAAGAAAAATTCGCCACGGGAGACATCAAAGGAGCTAATAAATATCCGGGTAAAAGACAATTCGCTCTCTTTGAAACAAATAACAGGGGAACAGAAGGAAGTGGCAGCAAAGTGAAGCGAGAGTGGCTTTGCTTCTACCCAACTCTCCTCGACAGAGTATGGTTCCTATCTCATTCAAGTCTGTCGATTATGCCCCGAAGTAGAGGCACGTGAAACGGAACATTCGATGCGCTAAAGTATAAAATAATTACAGTGAAAATAACGATCGAACTTTAAAAGCAACGGGTAGAAGTTTTCGCATAATATTCATCGTTAATGAGGAGACGGGTGCTAGAACACGATCTGCTTTACGTTTAACGAGAAAAATTCATGACGAGGGCTTTTCCCGGACGCTCGATATATTCAGACAAAGACAATTCACCGACGAAAATGAGAGTCAATCCTATTAAAGGAAAAAGAGGGATCTAAAATTCACCGCGTATCAAACGATTTGAAATATATACGCGTAAAAAAAATGATTCTCTCCTATCCTCTATGGTTTTACACTTTACTCTCTTTATAAAAAAAAAAAAAAAAAAAAAAAAAAAAAGGGGATAATAACGCTGCAAAATGAAATCGACAAAGCATTTTTACAAATGTCCATGTACATTGATATATATATATATATATGTATAATCAATGCGAACAGAATATCGTTTCAGAGATTCAAGTGCGATATTAATTTCAACAAAATAGCTCTGCAGCGAGAGTCCACTCAACTTATGCGCGCAAAAAAAGCGCAGTGAAAAGCGGTCGACGAACAAAGAAGTATAAAGCGCGAATATGGAAAGAGAGATAAAAGCGGAGATCCTCTCACGACCCCTTACATCCTCCTTACATTCTCTCCCACACGGATACAAAGTAGGGAGTGCGTATAGCTATGCAATAAAATGTCGGCTGTCGACGGATCACCGGCGGCTTATTGAAAGGATATTTCATTCGGACGAGTTCCTCCTATCCGGCTTATCCCCGCGAATTTCCCGCGGGTGTACGAAAATCTTTTCGTCACTCTCTCCCATTTACTCCCTTCGGTTCCTCCCGAACGGTTTCTTCTGCTCGGGAAATTCGCGAAACGCCGCGGACTCTCTCGCTTTTTCGCGAACGACTCGCGGAAAATGAGAGCGCGATACACGTGAAAAGCCGTATTTACGACGCGTCTTACGCGAGACGACGGCGTCTTAATGGAAAAGTCTTTTCCACGAGCACCAATTTGTACTTCTTTTCTTTTTTGGGGTTTTTTTTTTTTTTTTTTTTTTTTTTGCAAGCGGCGTACGAAAGGCACCGTGCTTTGAAATGCGAATTTAATAAGTGATGTAGAATGAAAAGCTGCACGGAGGGGGCGTTCAAATTTTTTTCTTCCTCGCGTCGGTTTCTCGAGACGAGCCAGACGTCGTCTCGAAAATCACCGGTAAGCCGGTAACCCGTCCGTGGGCGAATACACAGGTTTATACTACTGCTCCGACTGTATACTTCTTACTATCGCGCGGACTTGGTTAAATAATTCTAAAGAATGGAAAATTAAGACCGGGGGATTTATCGGGACAAAGTCGCCTTTCATCTGTCACACTCGCTTGCTTTTTGAAAATTTAATTCTTAAATTTTTCTCGTATTTTTAATCCAGACATTTTTGTCGGAAAATGTGAAGGGGCGTTAAATACATGAGACTCGCGCTTATTCACGCTTTTCTGTACCATTAATGAAACATTTTACTCACTGCGATTCTTGAACGCGAGCCTTGCTGTTGCGAATGTACAACGCACTGGCGACGCTGCCGACAACTAGAATTAAAGCGCAGGCACAAGTAGCTGCGACGTAAAGCGCACCGGCACCGTTCATGAGCGGATCGGGCTCCAGACGCACCGAATCGTTGCTGGGAGGCGTCTCGACACCTGCAAGTACACAGGATATATAAATTAATTCATATTTTTTTTAATCTTTCTCTATACATTTCTTCTATATTTCATACAATTCTAAAAAATCAAGCATTCAAATAAACGAAAGAGGGATATATTACATTACACTGAAAAATTCAATTATTGACACAAATAAATGAAGAATAATTGAACTAATTTGATTTAACAAAAATTCGACGTTTTCTCATCAAAAATAAATTTTTTAACATGTTAAATGTCAAATTAAAGCGCTTTCCTCGTGTTGTCATGTTTCAAAAAATGCGATATAAAATAAATATGTAACTGTAACATCAATATATAATTTAATTTGATTTTAATTTTATTTGTTTATCGTCTATCGAAAAAAAATTGCGACTCGCCTCTGAAGCCTCTTCACGTTCTATTCGACGATTTTTATATCCGTCACCAAATATAAATGTATTCAATCTACAAAACTCGCACGACCGCCATTATAGTATCGGCAATCCATTTTGTCAATTGGAGCATTTCCACTCGAGCCACGTGCTCGAGATTCGAATCTATCGGGGAAGTACTGGACGAGAACGGGATCGACCCATTGTTTATACGTATCGCGGCGCTATCGAACGAGCGGGAATATCGACGAGTTGTGGAAAGTGCTCAAAGAGATCTCACTTTGATGGCGAGTCATTGGCCGCAAACCACGAATTTTCCGGCAAGTACGACCGCTACTCGGCTTACTTTTACCTCGCAAATAGCCATATATTTCTCACGCGTTGTTGCGTTCTTGCGTTGCCCATATTAAGGATCCCATCGTTTTATTCGCTATTCTTCTTTATATATGTGTTTGTAAAAGAAATTTTAACAAAATATATTATATCTGACAAGATTTTTCCTCAAATTTAACAACACGTGTCATTTAATATGTCAATTAAATTAATCGAATTTTTCTTTCATTTATTTTGATCGAAAAGTGTTCCGACATATGTATGCACTGGAATTTTACAAACTATACAGTCCGACGAAATTTTACATTTTTGAAATGCACATTTGACAAGGAATCTAGGACGAATTAGTTCGAATTCGGTTAGTTCCGTTGTTCGCGAAAGAAACTGTTCGAGTTTACCGAGACTTTTATCTCTGCGTCTCGCAAGTTTACATTTTTCCGGCGTACTTGGTTCTCTGATATTTCTTTTCATCCTATCCATTCGTGCGTTCTGAGAAGTAAAGACTCAGGTCGAACGAAGCGGCGCCTTGTCGTCTCTTATAAAGGTAAGTAACGTGACCTAGGCGGAAGAACTTTAGCGCGAAGGCTCAAAAGCTTTCAAGAACCGAGCACGTCAGCCTCGACTAGGATATGCCGAGGAAAAGGGACGCATCCTTTCGGAGCGTCATGATAAAATTAAGTAAACTTCATCAGCTCTTAACTCGTTGCCGAGATTATAGCGTCGCATAATCCCTAAATGCGTTCCTCCAATTTCAGGCGTTGCTCGCCTGAAATCTAAAACAACTCTTCATTTCTTCGCTAACTTATCTTCTTATGCGAACGAGCAACATTCGCTCCTCATTATCTCACATTTTGTTTCCCTCCTGACGTATAATTCGTGCTCGTAAATCATTATTTCTTCCACATATAGTATGCATATATCGAATCTCGTGCGGGATTATCAAATTTCCTCGTAAGTTCTTAATAAATTTCTAAGAGTTTTTTCGATTTAGTAAACGTTTTAATTGCGGAAAATAAAAATATAAAATACAAACACAAGGCAAAAATCTTAAAATTTTAAAAAAATCGACACAGAACACTTTGTCAAATTGTTATCTTGCGATAATTAAGAGGTTGAATTTCCATTGCGGATATTAAATAACCTGGACGCCTTTCTTCTCTATGTATTTATTTGAAAGCTGCAATTCTTTTTGTTCTAGAGTAATTCCAGTAAGTGACATATACGTCGATTACAGAAAGAGAAAATGATACGATGCACTCTGAAATATTCGCCAAGCCGTAGTAGCGATAAAAATAACAGTGCTTTGAAAATACATACCGCCTGCGGCGTAAGAAAATTCACGACGAAAATTAAGACATTGTACGGCATAATACAGTCATCGCGTGGTTTATTCTTTCTACCTTCTTTCTCATCAAGAGAGAAATTAAAAACTCGAAAGCCGAAATCCTTTTATCTAGAAGCTTCACGATTCATCATCCATTAATGTTGCATGAAATTATTGTTACCGTGCTTGCAAGCACTATTGTTACTTTATTCTGAAAAATGTCACTTCAAAGGATAAAATGCTAACTTTTTATTATAAAACTCTCTGTGTTAAGCTTTCAATTATAATTCTGATAAGCTGTCAATCAACGCTGGAAAATGACTTTGTTGTATGTTTTTGTCCTTCAATTTTCCATGTTTATTATTTTAATTATCAATTATTCGTAACTTGAAAAAATGTACAGTAAAACTTATTTCTCAAATAATCAGCGTTCTTATTAATTTTACATTTAGTGTCATTTATTTTATATTATTCTATTATACTGTTCTTCTTATTAAAAAAATCATAAATATAATTTTTCACTTTGACAAATACGTTAAGGGTCCTAATAAGCCTTGATATTTATCTTCTTTCTCTTTTTCCGTCGCTCATTTCACGAAAGAAGGAAATAGACTTCGTGCTCTTGCCAGGATAACGTAAACCAAGCAGATCAGCTTTACGTGATAGAGCATCGCGAACACGAACTACGAGGTACGAGACGAGAAAGAGTTTGCTCGAGCGCGATGAGACGTGCACAGGAAGCAGCAGGAAAAGAAAAAGTTAAATAAATCGTAGTAGCCCTCGGCATTGCGCTGCAGTATCTTAGGAGCAACTCGTTCGCATCGTTCCTTTGCGGAGTCCTTCCATCTTCCTAAAATGTTTCTCTCGCGCGCGCGCTACGATGCGTCCGAGAAACGGACGAGCATCTTCAAAATCGCTTCTATTATTTTTGCACTAAAATTGTAATTGCGTCAGATTTCGCAATATTTATCAAATTTTTCATGCTCTCGGTAATATCACCACCTTTTCTACGCTTGTGATGTGTAATTACTTCAATACATGCTTTAAATCTGTCATATTTTGCTGTTTATTCTATTATACATTTATTGTATATTTTATGTGGAATATACGAGTGCGATTTTTATATGCAATTTAATATTATACGATATATATAAATGATGTATGAACGTTATATCTTCATTCATTAACTCACTAATCAAATAGTGTAGCACTTATCGACATAAGTTGTCAGGATTGACGCGCATATTCGCGGAACTCAAAGAGCGACTATGAAGTCAGGAAGGCGTGTTAAGAGCGACTTCTCAATTAAATCCGACTGAGCTATGCTATCCGCTACCATCAAAGTTAAGGTCAAACAGACCTTAACCGAGATTTACGGAGGATCGGAATTAAGTCTCTAGAGGATTAACAGGGTGACCCTCCACGAGTCGCGTTTCCTCATTCGCCGCGAGCTCTGTGGACTTTAGAAACAAATTTAGTCATGCTGAGAGACTCGCGTAAATCACAAAATTACACCTATGAGTGCGCTGATATGTTTAGTTTATTCCACAAAAAAATTAAACAAATTCAACGATAATTTAAAAAGAAAAATGAAACCTGGGGGATGCTTATTTATATATACTTTAAATCATTTCTTCTAATGTTACCATTTGTTTCAAACATTTTTAATATTTTTAAAATATAGTCGATATACCATATTTGCAAAAGTTGTAAACCATTCGTTAATTCTAAAAACGTCAATATTTTTTGAAGATATTTGAGATGAAAAATAATATAAATATTTGAAAACAACACCGAAAAATCTGTAAAAACACAACGTATACAATATAGTATATTGTCGTTTAAAAAAAATGAACAGAAAAAAATATCTAATATGCGGACTCTCGATGCGAATTCGAATTGCTGAAAAACTAAAATTTCAAATAACAAAATAACTAAAATTTGAGAGAGAGAGAGAATCAGTTTACATTATTAAATCTTTGCCTTTTTTTACATTTGAAACATCAATGGTCTTCAATATATGTGATTCTTCTTCGCGAGTATAGAGAGTTTCATGTAGAGAATTCGATTATTTTCGAGTGATCTCGAGACGCTTTCAGATTGCTGCTAGGACCTCTCGAGTCCGAAACGATCGCCCAAGGACTCGTCAGGAGCCAGGGCCCCGGTTTCTTTGGCGATGCGAAAACGGGACAAAGAGGAAGCAAATTCGACAAAGCAGAAAATCTGCTCTCCACGACACGACTATGGTCCTCACCGCGGTGGTGCTTATTTATTTTCGTCCCTCTTCGTTCCTGTAGCCCTGTCCACCTCGCTTTTCTACGCGGTCGACCCTCTTGATCTTCGGCGAAGGAGGGATTTTCTCGGTGCCTTCTCTTCTCTTTCATTAAATACACCGACCCCTGACAAGATTCAATTTTACTCGGCGAATTGCTTTTTGTTGTACCGTCGCCTCCTTCGGTAACCGGATCTGCGACTTCTCTCTCTCTCTCTTGTTTTTTATTTCTTTTTTATTTTTCATCGAATTTCCCAAATACACCAATTTTATGAGACAAAACTCTATACGTTTTTATTATATAATAAAATGATATAATATATCAAGTATATGAATATTTTAATAAAATTTATTTAAAATATATATATGCTCTTTATATCTAATAATTTGGTTTCGGAACGATCAAGTCGCGGCCAACTGTTGGTCCAAACTAGAAAAAACCTATTTTCAATTTTAAAATACATTTCTATTTTTTTTTTTTATCTTTTTAATTCTACGAGATTCAATTCTTGTTTTCATCAATTCTCTTCTTAATTAAAAAGATGAACAAATCCATCGCTGTGCGGTTTCAATTTATTTCGTGGAACGTTTCTATCTATCGAAAACACTGCGCACAAAACTCGTTTTTGGTTACACAAAATCAGTATAAAGTATTCGCAACGCGCTATTATGACGATAGAGAGGGACGAATATCGGGGGTTATTTGCCAGATTGCATTCATCGTTGCTCCGTGCGGCTTGTTTTTTCAGAAAACACACGTTTTCGAGGTCGCGTGAAGTTTGCGGAGTCGAGAGAACCGCGCCTGTGAAGTACCATGCGTACAAGTTTACGAGCACCCTTGTCGGAAGTGGTGCGGAAATTACGTTTGTACCTTCGCTCGCGTCCGTCATAACATTTCCATTTCTCCTCGCAACGTAAACTACATGTGTATATTTAATTCCATTATCTAAACATAATTACTTAAACGACCATGCGTGCTCTGCAATTGTATTTATATAATTTAACGGTATTTAGTTTAGTAAAAACCCTCAAACTGTCAGGAAACACCGAAAGTTCCGAATTGATCGCTATTCGCGCGCTTAAATATTAAAATAAATATTAATAATTATTAGAAAGTATAAATAAATAAAATAAATTGTAATACTGTTAGATTGTAACAAACGTTATATCGCGATCTATAAATCTCCTTTTATGAATAAAAAATATATACAATATATATGCATTCAAATGCAACACTATGGATATTTATATTTCTTTCTTATAATACATTTTGCGATATACGCAAATCAGTTTATCGCGACCATTTTATTTTACATTTCAAAAATTGTTCCTATTATTGTCATCCTTTTTCAATGTTAAAAACGCTTGCCATCGCGACTTCAAAAGTTACCAAAAATCGCTCACTCCAGGGTCCATAAATCGCGTGGATAAATTGAGTTTGCGCGTGACGCGAAATGAATGCGCGCTTCTGTTTTAATCGCGACCACGTCGAAACTGTCTCGCCGTAACGAAGGTATTCAGTCGGGTTCACGAACGCGCTAATTAAATCCGATATTACGTAAACGAAATAATTATCAACAGGCTGCAATGGCGCTAAAGTGAGTACGGATGAACAAAGGCGCGTTCCGGCTGCGACTCGCTCGCGTACCGCAAAATATATATATATATATATATATATTGTATGAACAACCGAGTAAACCATATGTCACATAGAGATTACAAAGCTTGAATAGTATCATCTTTTGAAATGGATCTTCATACAACGCACTGTGTAGATCAATATCACCGCGCAGTAAATAATAGCGCATAGAAATTCACAAACCTTTCGCGCCGATTTGATATTGTCATCGACGTGCCTTGTTTCATAAATCATTGTGAAATTTATTTAATTTATGTAATTGTGTGCAATATTAATGTAATATTTGTCTGCATGTACGCGCATTATAATCAAATTTATTACAATGAAATTAATAAACCGTGAAATAGAAATAAATTTAAATTTCTCTCAAAAGGTCAAGTAAACATTATACAGAATTGAGGAGGAGTTGCAATTTTAATTAGACGCAAAAAACACCGCTAAGCGAAAGAGTTACATAATTCACACTTTAGCATTTTCATATTTTAAGTGAGATAAACGGCGAATGCGCGCCGTCATGATTTTTTCAGGGACTCTGAATAAAACAAGCGGAAGAAGAGAACACGCGGCATTCCTTCAACGAAAAAGAAAAAAAAATCTAGAATCCGGATCTAGGTTCTCGGTTAATGCTGGCTGCCATGAAAATCATGGAATTTCAAATCACATTGAATTTCATGCGCGAAAATAATAAAATAGATATTATCTTTTTTCGCTTCCTCTCTCTCTCTCCTCTCTCTCTCTCTCTCTCTCTGCTTCATACATTTGTTAATGAAATCAGTGTATTATCACTGATGCAGTACTTTTAATTATAAATATAACATTGCAGATAATAAAATCTCACTAAACAGAATTAATACTAGCGGCTAATTTTTCAATGAAATACTACCATAATCAGCGAATTATACAATGGAGGAGCAAAGTGCGAGTGTTTCACTGAAAATTCGAGAAATACTCACTGATCTTCAGTAAGAATCTTGTCACTGCTTTAATCAGTGACATATTTTCAATGACTTACTTAATTAAAAAAAAATAATAAACCTCAATGTGTTTTGTTTTTTGACATTATTCAAAATTTAGCATAGTAATGACCGATATTGGCCAGATAATCGATCGCGCGGGAAATTCTACCTCTAAATGACTATTCGCACGTATACCTTTTTAGCAGATAATAAAATCTCCTTGAAAAGAATAAATACTCTAGTGGCTAATTTTTCAATAAAATTTTCCTACCATAATCAGCGAATTATACAATGGAGGAGCAAAGTGCGAGTGTTTCACTGAAAATTCGAGAAATACTCACTGATCTTCAGTAAGAATCTTGTCACTGCTTTAATCAGTGACATATTTTCAATGACTTACTTAATTAAAAAAAAATAATAAACTTCGATGTGTTTTGTTTTTCGACATTATTCAAAATTTAGCATAGTAATGACCGATATTGGCCAGATAATCGATCGCGCGGGAAATTCTACCTCTAAATGACTATTCGCACGTATACCTTTTTAGCAGATAATAAAATCTCCTTGAAAAGAATAAATACTCTAGTGGCTAATTTTTCAATAAAATTTTCCTACCATAATCAGCGAATTATACAATGGAGGAGCAAAATGCGAGTGTTTCACTGAAAATTCGAGAAATACTCACTGATCTTCAGTAAGAATCTTGTCACTGCTTTAATCAGTGACATATTTTCAATGACTTACTTAATTAAAAAAAAATAATAAACCTCGATGTGTTTTGTTTTTCGACATTATTCAAAATTTAGCATAGTAATGACCGATATTGGCCAGATAATCGATCGCGCGGGAAATTCTACCTCTAAATGACTATTCGCACGTATACCTTTTTAGCAGATAATAAAATCTCCTTGAAAAGAATAAATACTCTAGTGGCTAATTTTTCAATAAAATTTTACTACCATAATCAGCGAATTATACAATGGAGGAGCAAAGTGCGAGTGTTTCACTGAAAATTCGAGAAATACTCACTGATCTTCAGTAAGAATCTTGTCACTGCTTTAATCAGTGACATATTTTCAATGACTTACTTAATTAAAAAAAAATAATAAACCTCGATGTGTTTTGTTTTTCGACATTATTCAAAATTTAGCATAGTAATGACCGATATTGGCTAGATAATCGATCGCGCGGGAAATTCTACCTCTAAATGACTATTCGCACGTATACCTTTTTAGCAGATAATAAAATCTCCCTGAAAAGAATAAATACTCTAGTGGCTAATTTTTCAATAAAATTTTCCTACCATAATCAGCGAATTATACAATGGAGGAGCAAAGTGCGAGTGTTTCACTGAAAATTCGAGAAATACTCCGATATTGATCAGATAATCGTCGCGCATAATTGCGCGGGAAACTCTACCTCTAAGCGACTGCTCGCACGTACCTTTCAAGCAAATCTTGTTCCTCTTGAACACCAAGATAGTGTCATTGTACCGAGTGCCGGGCGGCGCGGTGACATTCAACCTCAGCGCGAGAGGAATTTCGGCGCTAACGATCCCCGAGCAGGGCAATCTGATCCTGAAGACTTGCAGAGTGACTGGAATCTCGCCTCTCGCGGAGACGTTCACTCTCGGTGGCAGCAACGCCATCATCCCGGAGGACGGTCCACCCAGCACTCCCACTACGTCATAATCCAGCTCCATGGAATACGATAACTGAAAGAAGAAGAAGTCACGTTTCAAAGAAGCTTGATCGTTCTCTCTCGGGGAAATCTTATATACGTTATCGCGAAACATACAAATTGTTTTTGCCGAACGATAATTTTTAACAGAGACAGAAATCTTTGAGCCTTATTTACGCTCTCGTGCTCCGATCGCAAATTTCCCTCTCGCGAGTCGACACGTTTCGCACGTAGAAATTATTCCGGTTATCGTCCGTCGCCCGATATAATCTGGCGTGTAATAAAAATAACGCGGCGCCCGTAACTCATGCGGAAAAGCCGCGGGAGATTCGCGGTCCCTTCGTTGCGTATACGATTGCGCATATTAACATATATATATATATATATATATATGAATGCGTATCGGTCGGTGCATGCGATATATTATATTCCACGTTAAATCCCACGCGTCGCGGTCTATTTCGTATTTACTGCCGTCCATCTCGTAACTTTGAACCCCGAGTCGAGGTTACACGGGAGACCCCGGGTGTAAGGCAAGCACGATTGTACCAACCACCCTTTCCCACCTCCTCGTTCTGTCACACTCGAGATTGGCCCACCTCGAACGGCGAGTAGTGTGTTCAGGCACGCCACAAGTTTTACGAGGTGGCATAAATAACCCGGTTAGTGCTTCGTGATGCGGTGTCAACGGAAAGGCGACTCCACCCTCTCGACTCACCGGTAATCGTCGTAATCGTCGCGACGGGAGGTCCCGTGGTGGCGTGACACCTGCCTATCGTACCCCGTGGCGAACCCGTTCTTCTCTCTCTTTTTCTCTCTGAATATTTATTATTTTTTTCATTTATATATATATATATATCCGTTATTTTATTTATTATTTTTATTATATATATATATATATATATATATATATAAATGAAAAAAAAAATATTATATATAAATAAAAATAATAAATATTCAGGGAGAGAGAGAGAGAAGTACGGGTATATATATATATATATCCGTAAGTCGCGACAAAAGCGTGAACGAGACGAATGGACCGTGCACGCGTGTGTGCACGGCACACCTCCGTGTTCTCTCTTCGTCTCCCGCACTTTTGCGTAAGAGATACCGCGACGGGGGTCTCTATATCGGGACTCTCGAACAGCTCTTAGATCATTCCGACCTTTCCCTTTAATTACAGAGAGTGCCTCAGTTTACGGTGGACGATTTATTTTGATTCAAGCAACGCGCACGCGAGTAGTTATTCACCGTCGTTGACATTATTAGCTAGATAAAGAGAAAGAGAGAGAGAGAGGGAGATCGTGCGGGAGTTATGTAGTGTCAAATCGCTTCCGACGAAATCTATTACCGTAATTTCATAATTAAGCATTAATTAATTTCTTTACTCGACTTTATTCTAATAATAGAAATTGTATAGAAACGGTGGATACAATTTTTTATTGTCATAATCTACCATGATCCCTCTCTACGGAAGATTTATTGTAATATCAATATCCATTTTTTTTCTTTTTTTTTTTTATAAAGATTTCATTTAACAAACTTTCTCGGAGACAGTTAAAGCTCTCTCGGAGACAGGAAGATAAATGATATTTCCGATTTTCTTCAGGCACGAACACGCGAGCTTTTTCATACTGAATACTCGTCCGGGCATTCGTCCTAATTGACGGTAACTTAATGACGATGCGGTTGAATCGGGAACGCGATGTCGAGGGTGCTTTCGAGACGGGACGCCATTTGCTTCCTAATCGCTTCTGCGAGAGGGAGTGACGATGACGTGACATCTATCCGTCGCGTTCGGGGATAAAGCGTCGTGTTTTCACCGTTCTACCTACGCGAGACGGGTAGTAATTGACAGAAGTGCCTCGTTCACTCGTCGAAAAGCCACCCTTTTCTTTTATTCGCGCGCGCCGCCCTTTTCTCCCACGATAAATCAACCGCGCCCGCGAGGTAAACGCGTTCACGTCTCTCGGAATTGCCCTCAAACGTGCCCGCTAGAGAGAAATGGCCGATATCTCTAAACAAATCTAGATTGATTTGTAGGACGAAACGGTACAAATATATTTCCGCAAGCACGAAACAAGATTTATAACTATATAATAATAGAGAATCTATATTTCCCAAGATAACATATTACTAACGATATAAAACTATAGTCACCAGACGATAATTAAAAATGGTAATTTTAATTGAATTTCACAACGTTTCGGCTCTTATCAAGTAAGCTACGTTCTTAAAACAAAGTAAATCACAACTTTTTAAAAGAACAAAAATTCGATCTTGAAATATGACATCCCGATATAATAACATCCCGCTTTAGCGACTTTTCGGACCTATATTTTTCGCGCCTTTATGTGTAAGTTTCGAGATTAATTTATATATGGAACTTGGTGATCTCAAACCAAGAGATACAGTTCCGAATAATTAATAATTTTTCGTGCTTTGGCTCCGATTTAAAAAACATCATATTTATATTCGAAATAACTATGCTATATAAAATATACTATTATAATAAAATAGTAATATTTTTTCAAGAGAATTGACAGCTTCCGATTGCGCATTTCGCATTTTCTTATCATCGTCGCTGGTAACAAATTTCTCGGTGAAAATTCGCAAAGATGAATCGCAAATCTTGATTCTTCTCGTCCAGCATCATCCGTGAGAGAAACGAGAAGGCTACCACGTATAGGGTTCGAACGATTTCCCGCAGCTGTAAGCGTTTGCTTAATATCCAGTCTCGGATTCCCGTAATAGCGTAAAAATGTTTGCCCAAGAAGCGTCCCTCTCGAATCCAGAAGAGAAACGTAATCATGGGCGTCGACATGACTTTCCCCGAGTAAAAAGGGGGCGAAAATTTTCCTCCACGAAGGAAAGAAAACTTGAAAACTTTTCCACTTATTTTTATTAATTAATTCTACGACACGGCTATGAACCTGCAACACGAAACCTTAAACACGCGTATTGCATTTAGGCTCTTCCTTCAGTGAATTTCAGTATATACTTTCACTATACTTTCTTATTAAAGGCGAAATGGACTTTCCGCGAGAAGGTTCATTAAACCGCAATGCGCTCTTAATGAGTTTATCACGTAGTTTGCACTCCTCCTAATTAACGACGAATTTCTCCGTTACATTTTTCACGCGGACCTGTCCCTCTCCGTTCCGAGGACAGAGAACTCGAGAACCGGGAGTGCGTCGCACTCGAGAAAGGCGACGCCCATGACGCCCAACACGGCGGTGTCGCGTGAATTGCGATCCGTCAACCTTCTCCCTGTATCTTCCGCGTGTACGTATGTATGTGCGACGCGTTCCTGCGCACGTGTTTCCGTGTACACTTGGATTCTGCCAGAGACGACGACGAGTGTACCACGACGAGCGCCATTGTCGCTGTCGATGAAAAGGAAGTCGTATAACACCGGGAAATCCTATCGTCCGACATCAGGAAGGAAACGCCCGTGGCTTTTAAAGGGAAGAGAGAGAGAATGCTTTTCCTCCCACCCTCGATTTATACCGAAATTATGCCGCGATTTTGTATTATCGGACAGCATCGCGGGAAGAGAGAATATTAAAGGACGAAGGCGGGCTGATTTATCCCGGAATTATTCCCGGCCTCCCTGTATTATTCGCGTCCTTGTGTTATTCCAGTGAACGAGCCCGCCGGTTGATTCGGCTGGATACGCGTGAGCGATGAAAAATGTGCGCCCATGCGAAAAGTACGATGATAAACGCGGCATGAAGCGTACAGAAAAGGGTCAACGTCGCCGATCGCGGCTTCGGTGATTAATCGTGGCGCCGGGAATTTTCGAGATACGTTTCAATATACCGCGAATCAGTCGGGCGTATGTTGCGAAACGCTAATAAGTTTAGACGCGATATTTCTTATCGGTTATTCTCTCTAACGTGCTGTTAACATTATCGAACGCTCTTCCGTGTTTGCTCATTTATTTCGGTAAACACGAACGAAAATAGAAACTTTATCTCCATGGACAATTAGTCGATTTATAGAATCGCTTTATATATTAATGTTAATTAATATAATTGTACAAATTGATATAATTACATGATGACAATTATACATAATCGATCTTCCTGTTAGCCGCTGTATAATAATATACTTGTCTGTTATTTTTTCATTCCAATAAATATTAATTAATCATATAATTTGGTCGAGATAATAGTTATAATGTCGATTCTCTTTCTTTTTATTTAGCATGTTATATAAAAAATATAATCGCTAATATATAGTCAATTTTAGAATTTAATCTGCATTTCTAATTGTGTAATTAAGAAATCTACTATTAAATGCTTTCATCTCATTCTTGATCATGAAAGTATTTATAAATTTGCTCGCCGAAACTTTTGTCATTTTAAAAAGAATAATGAAATAAATTTAATTATCATAAAATAATGAATGAAAACGCGGATCTTGTTTTTAAATTAAAAGAAAACATGTTAAGCAAATATCATCGAAACGTATAGTTATATCGGGAACATTTCCGCGTAAACCGAAAGTACATGATTCCAACCGATATCCATCGGTGCGTGAGCCACGAAATTAGTCACGTGTCGCTAAACACTCGAGGCACCGATCGTGTAATTTTTATGGGAATTTTCCGGTGGATCTTTTACACGATTGAATCCATACGGTTTTATCGTATATCATACGGACGGTCGATTAAAATAACACATTTTCGAGTCACTTTCACGGATATACCTGTTTTCATTTTAAATTTAAATTTGGAAAAGCAGTGATATATTTCTGTTAACCGTACAGTTTCAAATTAAAAATTAAAATCTTGTTCACTGGGTACAATGATGATAATATATGAATGAATAATTTTCATCCCCGTACACACAATAAGTATTCGTGTATAAACTGATAAAATTACATATAAAATTGCAATATGAAATATGATAGTTTAATAAAGTAAAATTAAAGTTGATAATCATATATGATCTCTCATCAAAATATTTTGTTTAGAATGAAATTTTCTCTCTTTATTTTTATGTATCCCGATATACATCATCTCGTCAA